AAGTCAATTGTCAAAGAGGTGGAGCAAAGAAAACACAGGACTGAACACTTCAAAGGACTTCTAAATCGACCTCCACCTGCAACGCGCTCAACAATACCAGCAACGGAAGCAGATCTACCAGTGAACATCGACCCCCCGACGAAATCAGAAGTCATGAATGCAATCAAGATGCTAAAAGCTGGAAAAGCAGCAGGATCAGATGCAATCCCAGCAGAAGCATTGAAATGGACCCAGAGACAACAGCGGACTTTATGACTCCATTGCTAGAGAAGGTGTGGAAAGAGGGCAAGGTACGTGAGGATTGGAAGGAAGGATACTTATTCAAACTACCAAAGAAAGGAGACTTAGGTCAATGCAAGAACTGGCGCGGAATTATGCTCCTGTCCATCCCAAGCAAAATACTAAGCCGCATCATCCTGGACAGAATCGAACAAGCCAACCTGGATGAAAAACTTCGACCGGAACAGGCTGGATTCAGGAGAAACAAGTCATGTATTTATCAAATCGCCACACTACGGATCATCACTGAACCATGCTTGGAATGTCAGTCACCTCTCTATCTCTTTTAACTTCATCGACTTTGAAAAGGCCTTCGACAGACTAGGGTCGATCGAGTGGTCATTTGGCAACTACTTCGCTACTACGGGGTCCCATCGACAATTATACATCTCATCCAACAGTTATACGACAATGCTGCATGCCAAGTAATCCACAACGGGAAACTCACGGAAGCCTTCGAAGGGAGGACGGGAGTGAGACAAGGCTGTCTACTATCACCAATGATCTTCCTGATTGCAGTAGATTGGATAATGCGACAGACAACGGCCAACTTTGAGGAAACAGGCATAAAATGGACTGACACAAAAGAACTTGCAGGATCTGGACTTCGCCGATGATATATGTCTGATTTCCCACAAACTGGAAGATATGCAAGTCAAAAGCAACATGCTGGCTTTAGAAGAAGCATCCAGGATAGGACTTCAAGTGAACATAGATAAAACAGAGGTGATGAAGATTCCTGGCCAACACCAACAGCAACAACAATCAGCCAGCATAAATGGGAGGAACCTGAAAGAAACAACCTCCTTTATCTACCTACTTTTCTGAGAAGCATCGTTTCAACTACAGGCGGAACTGACGAGGATATCAAAGCCGGAATCGGAAAAGCAAAACAAGCTTTCATTACTCTTAAGTCTGTGTGGAAGTCAACAGCACTGAGCATCAAAAATGAGATCCGGATTTTCAACTCCAATGTAAAGTCAGTGCTATTTTACGGATCAGAGACTTGGCGCGTCATAAAGAGCATCTCAAACAAACTTCAGACCTTCATTAATAGTTGTCTTCGCTAAATACTCAAGATCAGATGGCCAGAAATGATCAGAAACAGGGATTTTTCTCTAGGAGCGAACCAACCAGGAACCGATTGTGAAACAAATAGGTTTTCAGGAAGAAATGGAAATGGATTGGCCATACGCTGAGAAAACCATCAAGTGACATCACTAGACAAGCCCTCGAGTGGAACCCGAAAGGGAAGCGGGGAGTTGGTCGTCAGTGCAAGTGTGACTTGGAGGTGGTCATGTGAAGAGGATATGAAAGCATGTGGGCAGACTTGGAGCGGGGTGAAAATGTTGGCAGAAAATAGAAGGCAATAGAGATGCGCAGCTGAAACCCTATGTTCCTCTAGGAATTAAAGGATATAATAATAATAACAACATAACAAGAATTAACATAAAATATGAGGAAGCCTGTTGTATAGAAACTATAAACACGCCATAAAATGTTTGAATTTTCTGACTATTCATCTCCATTATACCGCTCACTTTCCCGTTCCCCTATAGATTTTGATAACTTCAGTTTCAAGATATCTCTTTCATGTACTTTCATGAATATCTTCTTTCTTTCTTCAATATATGTTGCTTCTCATGTACGCATTTTAACCTGTCGACACTTCTTGTTGTAAAAACATCTGTCGTGGAGTTTCTTCCGTATAATTTAACAGAAGCTTTGTTTATCGAATCAACTGCAAATACGTGTAATAGAAATGATTCAACACCTGTCCCAGATATCTGGATGATTCTACTACCACAATGACGACAAATAGGAAAGGATAAAGGGAACTATAAAACTCAAGTTTCAAAGCCGTGGGATTACAATTGATATGATTATGAACAATAAATTTTGTTGGGAACGTCATTTAGTAAATAATACTGTTTCACTCTGTGTGTGATACATTTAATAAACAAACTAATATGGAATTACTTACTATCAGTGCCCAAGTTTTACACATATGCTAAACAGCGTGTTTTAAAGCATCTAAGTGTGCGTCGGTGGTATAGCGGTTAGGACGCTCGCCGACCATGCACATGGTCCGGGGTTCGATCCCCGGCCGACGCACACCTTTACCTCTCTAAGCCAGAAATAATTCTGGTAAAGAGGAAAGGTTGGGCATGAGGCTAGCAACCCCATCCTGTAAAATAAAAAAAACTGCTACAGAAACTTCAAGCTACTAGCTTGAAGCCCTATGTTCCACTGGGGAACGTGAAGGAAAAATTATTATTATGAATCAAGTATAGACACTCAATGATTTTAAAATAATTACGATTTCTCTTCCGTTTTTTTATTTTAGCGCGAAAAGTCTACAAACACATATTGGAATCTAAACCAATGGTACGTAGACGCTCGACGAAATGTGCTGCTCCAAAGAATTCTGAACCAGCTCCTGAAGAAAGGTAGCCACTTTCAATGAAATAAAATAAATACCTGTAGGTCTTTCGTTAACCCATCAGCTGTCAGTGTGCATCTCTTCTGTCCTATATGCCAGGAGGCATTTTCTAATCCTCAGCGTGCACCATGCGGCCATTCATTTTGCAAAAGTGTAAGTGTTGTCTAAGTATCACTTTAACTATATTTGTTTATACATGAATAAAGAAACTAACGACTGTATCTGGCTAGTGGTAACTAGCAGTACACATTTTGTCCTATATAATGGGACTCATCAACTAAGAGTGTTCGTAGTAGAAAACAAACAACGTGCTTACAGAGACTGCACATTTTAGAGCCTTGAGATGTGGTATCAATAAATATACGCGGATAGCATTGCAGGGTGACTAGGATAACTTGATACACTATGCATACCTATCTGCAGAATAGTACTGACAGTAGTAGGGAAGCAAAAGGATGGGGAGGGGGTGACAGGTACACAAGAGAATGATGATCAGGAAGGCTTTGTGTGCTTATTATTCTTGTTCCCCCATTCACACTTCTGTTTGGCATCTCTCGTTTGAATCTCTCTTAACTGTCTTCTCTTGCCTTGTGTACTAAATGGAGGGAGTGTAGCAACTCACTCGAACTACTGTACATCTGTGCCAAGTTCTCTGTTGAAACCAGTCAGTGATTTATTTGTTCTATTCATCTGTAATTCAGTGGAATCGAAAAATTCAAGTGAAATTAGAGAGAATTGGGCTAATCATTACTCATGGGAGGCACATTCACTTGTCCTCACACCGTAATAATAATAATAAATGCCAGTACATGGATGAAAACAAAACAAATTCTTCATAATGATTTTTAATCCATAAAATGGAAATGTTCATTAAACACACAGGAATGTAGTCAATTTCCTAATATATAGAATTTTTTAGTGTGTTTTTTTCACCGTCTTTGTTTTTAGTGTATCGATCCGTGGATTCGTGACTCGCCTACCTGTCCGGTTGATCGTCTGCCTATCCCAAAAGGATCCATGCACCATGATTTCATAGTTGAAAATATAATAGGCGAATATATGGTAAGTCATTGTACGTATGGTGAGAGTATCGTTGGCATTCGTTTATACTCTCTTTTTCAAGTAATCATTTGCTAATAAAATGTACAACTGAAGGAATTTATGAGAAAAAAGTGGAAGAAAATCCACTCACGATATAAGTGCACAAGTGTTAGTAGTCGCGTTACCTACTGATGATAAAGATGGTCACTGATGCCAACCAACATTGTGACTTCATTGTTTCATTGGGGAATGTGCTAAATTTGATTTTATATCCAGACTGAACCAATTATGTTATGGAATTATTTTATATTTATTTATTTAAATGCAGAAAAAAACTTGGTACAATGTGGCACCAAGAAAGATGCACCACACTAAATTTCATTTGTTGTGTGAGGGCTGAGATACTGCCCGGCCGCCCAGACCGAAGCAGGTGGTTTTCTTAAGGGACCACCCTCGGGCCTTTGACTTGGATTTCATGGCTGTCGGTGACCCATATGGGTTCATACGCCATGTGACCCGATTGGATACTGGAGCCCATGTACCCCATGGTAACTGCTTTTAGTTTGACCGCTATCCAAACAACCTTCCTGACATAGTAGGGCCTGCAGGGACAGGTCCCAGTCAGTTTAGCATGTCGGGTCATTACGGTATTCAAACCCAACCACCACGACAAGGTAGCAGTTATCGGCCGGGGGAGATGGGTTGGACAGTCGCTGAGGAGGCCGATGGGTGACGTCGCGCGCGCGTCAGGCCATTGCTCGAGTGGAACCAGGCCGAAAGGGAAGCGGTGAGTGGGTCGTCAGTGCAAGGGTGATATGGAGGAGATCGTGTGAAGTGGAGTTGAAACAGTATGGACTAACATGGACGCGGAAGACAGAAGCAAGTGGAGACGTGCAGTTGAAGCCCTATGTTCCACTAGGTACCCAAGGGAGCAATAACAATAATACATAAGTAACTGCATTCTATATCCCGTGTGTGTGGTGAAGTGAGGAATAATATTGAGGTTAGGTGTGTCGTGCGTTTGGCAACGAGCAAACATCAGTCCATCAGGTTGTGAAGGTATATCGGTTGAGATAGTTAACATAACATAACAATTTCGCTTTATTCCAGAAACAGTACTTGTGGTACAGTGTGGAATTTTCAGCACATATCTACAATATTGCATCTAATTTCATCGTACATTTAAAAGGAGTATTATAAAAAAATAAAATATAAAAAAAAAAGAAACAGAAATAACCAAAAAAAAAGCAAATAAAAATACTGAGTAAAAAAAGAAGATCAACACAAATAATGAAAAAAAATATTTCAGTATTTGTTAGTGGAAGCTACGATATGTGTATGCGTGGTGAACAGTAACAGCTATAATCATACGGGAAATTATGAGATGTTCTTAAAAAAATGTTTATAGCCAAGATGATCAGTTAATTTGATTGAACAACACTAAGCAATCATAAGATAAACATTTCAGGTTTTTTTTTTGTCAGTACTAATGCGGTTGTTTGTAGTGACAGTGTGAGGAATCATGCATAATACAAAATTTTTAAGATGGTGATAGTGGCAATAACAAACAAGATTGTCAGTTAAATAGTGCCGAACAAAGAACAACCACAAAACTAATGTTACATGATGGTTAATGACGGGACAATTTTTAATAATCATAGTGATAATATAGTCGGACCCAGTAGATGTACAAAGAAGGAATAGAATAAAGAATAAAAATGTAAGCCAATGATAATAATTTTAAGCAGCTAAGTATGTTTAAGAAGGTTGTTCACTATAGAGTACAAATAAGAGAGTGTAAGGGGGAAAAAAACAAGGGCCAAAATTATGTTATTAACAACAAAGCAAGTCATAGGTTTCACGTCTAACATTGTCTCTGTCACTTAGAACACGGGCCAAATATGGTATCGTTGAGTTCCTATACTTGGTTGTACGAGCATATATTATTTTATACTGATTCCTGGTTCTACCTGATGAGATGCAGGGAGAGAGTTGGGAATAGAGGGGGTGTTGGGGGTCAGAGAGTATGGTTTTAGACCATTTCTCACATGTATTCAGATGCTTATCCACTAATGTTGTGACGAGCTGACTGAGTTTTACACCGCTAGTCCTGCTAACTACCTTCAACATCCTTCTCAGGATGGTATAATCCTTTTTCAGTAACCCAGGAAAGACTAACGGGGAACAGTAAAGTAGAATAGGTAGGATACGAGAGTTGACAAATTGTGTAAGCAGAGGTTGAGGGACTCCAGTTAGTCTGAGTTTCTTAATGTAGTAGGTTAGACGAAACACTTTCTTGGAAATCATTTGGATATGAGATGACCAAGTAAGGTCGGAAGATATAACTAATCCGAGGTATTTTGCATTAGACTTTGTTTCAATTATAGTCCCCTCGATTCTACAGACATCATGAGTGCTTACTAGTGTTTGTAGATCTCGTTTATGCCTAAAGGAGAAGTCGACAGTCTGGCATTTTGAGGGATTCAGCGTTAGGCCATTTATTTTAGACCACTGACTGATGTCCGACAGGAAGCTATTTAATTTGAAGCAGTCTGACTGAGACTTAACGGGAAGCGAAACAGTCAGGTCATCTGCATATTTGACGAAGTTGATTTCGTCTGAGAGAGGTAAGTCATGTAAGAAGTTAGAACATGTATTACTCATGCGCGCCTAGCCATCGCATTTTCCGATGTGCTTATGTTAGCTGACATAGGATGGATCAAGAGGCAGGAAAGGAGCTAATGGGTGGTCAAACCAAAACATGGCTTCATCAGTCAATCAAATTCACAACAGTTAGTTTAAGCCAGCCACATATGGCCGCGTAGAATGCTTGGTTGTTGGAGGTCTTCGCAACGGTAAGAACCAATGGTTGGAGGAAATTTTCAATATGGTTCAAAATCATTCTCAATGACAGCGCAGATGAATTCACTCTTTGTGTGATATATCATATCCAATAAACTCCATCGTCCTTCCATATTACTGTTCCGTTTCCTTCACCCACACCAGTGTTTATTATCTCTTTTGAGCGTGTCTTCTCTTGCTTCGTGTGCTGCATGCAAAGGAGGGACTGTAGCAACTCGAATCGCTATAAATCTGTGTCAAGTTCTATGTTGAATACAGTCAATTATTGTTTCGTCTCGCTGTTCGTTATGCTGCAACTGATTCCCATCCACACCTACACTGTATTCTGTGTCGTCAATTGTTTGTTAGACAATTAATTCCTTTGCGTTCTGATTTGTGAACAGGGGCGGAGGGTTGTAAGCTTAAGGATTAAAATTTTGAAGTAGCCGTATTCTTATTCTTTCTATTCATCTACTTTAGTTTATTTTAATTTCAGGTATCATGTCCTTGGCGTTCTCTAGGATGCGATTTTATCGGTCGCTTGTGCATTTTACCCAGTCATAAAAAAATGTGTCCAATGAATCCTGAACATCTTCCTGCAGAATTACGTAATCGTATTATGGTTGGTTTACGAAATACAACGAACGGAAATCAATCTTCAGACTTGAATTGTTATTCATATAATGAAAAGCTGTCGAAAGCTCAACAGGAACCTGCTCCTCCTACAGTCACAAGTGATGACAGTAATGAAAGTAATGCATCAACTAGTCATGAGAATAGTCTACTGTCACAGAATGTTGGTCCCAGTCTATATGACACTAGAAATAATGAAAGTGTTGATGAAGATCACCTTCTGCCTGCTCCACCACCTTGCCTGTTGTTTCGATTATATCAAAATTCTGATGAGAATGGTCGTAGTCTATTATGTAACTTTCTACGAAGTGAACAACCTTCTGAATCTACTTCTACCAGTGCAGGTAATAAACGACGCCGTAGAAGATGAAATCAATGCGATCCAAACCATTTTTCAATTCGAATGGCATTTGTGATCCGTGCATTTAACATTCCATTGAGTGTAAATTTCAAATTAAAACTCTTCTCTATGCGTAATTTCTCTTTCATTTTGAATGTGCATACATGCTGTAAATATATATACAGGGAACATTTTAAATTTTGTTAACATTTAGAGGTTAAATCAGTGAATAAACTTGTAAAGCCAATTTAAGATATGGTGTACTCAAAGAATTTGCCTTAATTCAACGTCCAAATATCTGATACCTAAATAGAGTAATTAATCATTTGTTGGTGGTCAAGATTTGTAAGTTTGGCATGTCTTCTTGAACTGTTCGCAATATTAACAAAAGCCAGTGTTCGCACAGTAGGTGGTTCAGTGGGAGAATGGTCGTCAATCACGCTCGGCGCGTCCGAGGTTCGATTCCCGGCCGATGCACTAATGAACCTCACTAAGCCGGTAGTAAGCCTGGTAAAGAGGGAAGGTATGGCATGAGGCTAGGAATTCCACTCCGTAAAAATGCAACAACTGCTATCGTAACTTCAAAGCTCTAGCTTGAAGCCTTATGTTCCATTAGGAACGCGAAGGAGTAAAATTTAAAGAAACAATAGTGTCTGCACTTTATACTTTATACTGCTGTCACTAAATTAGTATGGTCGTCAAAATTCGTGTTTACAACGCTTGGTTAGGTACACATGTGAAATCTGGTCTCTTCTGGCTCCAGATGTGCGATGAGTCTGGTTTCGATAGTCGCATAGAGTGACTTGCATCCAGTGAGTGGCGCCTGTTTGGAAGGAGTGTCAATTGTCTTTCAGAAACTGACAACACCTTAGGATTCCCGTGGTTCAGACATGCTTGATGAACGTCACTCCTTTCATTTTTGCCGGGTCTGCTTGAACTCCGATCGTTTTTTGTCCTACCATGTGTGTGTGTGCGCGCGTGTACCTGAATGGAATTTATGAATTTATCGATTTATAAATATGTCCGCCCTGCGTTTGAAGATGGAATCGTGGAATGTTTCAGCATTATGTTGTCTCTTTAGCTCTATGGAGGGTAGAACTATGTAGTCATTTTTGTGTCAGACATCAGAAATTTTGGATAGAATACCAAAATTTTTGTTACTTGGAGGAGTAGAGTCAAATATATCATTAAGGCTATAACTTTTTCATATGTCTCCTTGCCCGTTCAAGGATATCCGCTAACCACTCCGCAATCTGATGATATGGGGAGTTGAGACACCATGTCTATAATATTTCGAAGTGGGACATCCTTCTTATGCACCTCAGACAATCCATATTGTCTCGGGATAAACTGAACTGCATGGTTTTGTTTGTTCATTCATCTATGTCATGATTGAATTTTCTTTCATTTTCTTCAGTAATTATGCAAGGAGGTTTTCTGTTCTTTCCAGTTGGGTGATTTGAAGAATTTGGCATTTGTCTGATAGTACGTTTGTTTGTTTCTCGACATTATCTGATTTGTTCAATACAAAAATCCTATTCCACTAAATCAGGACGGTGAGGATTATGTCTTTATTTTTCTGAAGTTGTTTTGTGCCTCCCTTCGTAATCAGATAACAATGACTCAGTTGTGCACGCATGTACATGTAGCGGCTGTCGAAAATTGCAGCTTTAAATTGTTCGAGATGTTTTTCAGAATTAGGTGTGACAAATCAAATATCTGCAAAGTTAGATTCTCGAACTGAACTTTAGTCTGTAATTCATTGATATTTCTCAATACATCACAAAATTGTGGACCATGTGATTACAGTTGGAGTTGGATAAGGCATGAGAGATATAGTTGAACAGTTGAACACGTGTTTTTCAGGATTCTGCGGAATCGATGAGACATTTCAGGCTTTATGTTAGTCAGGAACTAGCATAGCATCTCAACGTTTCTGTATAGCATTGGGAACATAATCCTGAAACCTTTCTCGTTCCTCAACAGACAGTTCATCGGAAGCACGGGTTCGGTGCGTGTCTATAACAGCGGGGAATGACAGTGTGATGCAAAGTGTTTAATACTGCCGACATCTGCATGTCAAGATACCGGTTAAATTTGATGCAGCTAATAAGTAGGGATAGGTAAGGATTCTTATAGGGTTTTAAGTGTCGGCGTAAAACTCATTGGAAGAGGCATTTCGCTGGACTACCGTGTTATCATAATAATATTATACGAGAATTATAAAAGGATCATCAATCAAATAAGACTTCTCATAGAATTTCGCGTTAAATAAGGTGGGAACTGCCTAAGAAGCATGCCTCGAACCACTCAGCATGTGCGAGTACGCGTAGGTTTGTGAAACTATTATCCTCGATTGTTTCTTTTTCACTGAGTAGTCCTGTGGGGACTTGATTATCAATTTTCAAGATTTTGGAGTATATTAGAAGGCAATGTACAGCTGGGGTAAGGCAAAAGTTTCTTGCCAGCTCAGTGGTTGATTAGTCCAAACACCCTTTTGACAGCTTCTAAAGTGTAAATATTCATCCTACGGACACCTGTTTTATTCGCTTAAGTCTATGATAGCATTTGATTTCGTTGACCGAGAGGCAGTCTGATACTGCGAAATATTGGTGGAATGACCAGCGATGATTACTAATTAGGAACCCAGGTGGACGCAGCCAAGACCAGGCTTCGAAACCAGGACCTTCCAGTTACATGGGGATGGCGTAGACCACTCAGCCATCATAGTCTGACTCAGTTGCCTGAAGTAGGAATAGGCAGTTGTCCAGTACTTCCTTCTGGTTTTCAGTGGTTCACAAGTGGGACCCCCTCCAACGGAGAGTGAGGAGATCTTCTAAACAAGCAACAAAGGTTAGTAGAGCAGGATTTAGTGAATTCATCAAATTTCGGTAGAACTCTTCATCTGAATGCTCCACACACACACTATTAGAAATACATTCGGAGATATACGACTAAGACGTATTCAGCGAAGAAAAGATTTTTTTTCGACGATTCATTTTCACAAGCTGTACAATCTTAATTATTAATTAATTTAGCAAAGAAATCCTAAGACCAGTCAGATACTGGTAGAATTTGTTCTTGAAAACGTAATACGTAATGTAAGGTGTAATCTAGAAGGGGTGACTGATTGGGAATTAGAAAAGTGGAGGAAGAAGTTGACATGGAGTTATAAGTGTGAGATGACTCATCAATAAGATTGTATAGAATTGACAGGAACTAGTGGAAAGACGATAAAGTAGTATTTTGTTAATGTAAAATCTGTATGAAAAAGCAATTTTATTCATAAACAGTAGTCGGATGGTAATAAAATATGGATAATGATGGGAATAATAATGATAATAGTAAACTTAAACAAGCAAAATTATAGTGAGAACGTTACTCTGGTCACAGTAGGGCGACTGGATGCATGTGGTGCTTTTGAATGCAGAGGTCCACTTTCAGACACCGGATAGCCATTCTAACGTTAAGGACAAGATACCGCTTTTGGCGGTTCCCAGTGGAAGATAGGGCTCTGAAGTTTCAGTACCAGTGATGTTTCTTTACGGGGTAAGGTTGCTAGCCTTACGCACAACCTTTCCTCTTTGCTTGCCATACTGTGGTGAGAGCTGTCTGCTAGCCAAAATTACTAGACAGCAATTTACGTCAATTTCTACTTCCCGTATCTTGGTCATGAGAGAAAAAGCAGGAACAAAGACTAACTCAACAACCAATCACAGCAGACTTTGCGTGGGCGGACACGATTAGCAGATATATCAACGGACTGTCTAAGAAACGGCAACAAAGAGATGACAGAATGACCTTCAGCAGGAAAACAACCAATCAGAAGACGTTGCCTCTCTGCTAACAATA